GCAGAGCAGACCATCATGGACCACTTTCCTTTCTGGATGGTGACATGGTCATGCTGGAAGGCTCGGGCATGCCCACCTGCTTCTCTCCCTCAGCATTTTATTCAGGGCTTTTTTTGTAGAAAAAGCCCAGCAGGAACTCATGAGCATAATAGGCCACACCCAACAGCTGAAACTCATTAGCATATTAGGCCACACCCCTAACAGCACAGCTCATTAGCATATTAGGCCGCAGCCCCCTGTTGCCAGAAGTGTGGTCATCCTGCCACACCCACCTTTTGCTTCTTATTCTGTTTACCTTGTTTGTTGTCTTTTTTTTTGTAGCAGTGACTCCTTTGCATGTTAGGCCACACACCCCTACTGTAGCCAATCCTAATGAGTTTCTGCTGTTGGGTGTGGCCTATTATTCTAATGAGTTCCTGATGGGTGTGGCCAACTCAGGAGCCAGCCGGAACTCCGTTCCTGTGCGTTCCTGCCCAAAAACTGCCCTGATTTTATTCAAAAAAAGCAGGACGCCAGGTATGCCAATTTCTAGACAAGTAAAGGGGTACGCAGCTGGGCACTACAGCTGAGAGCAGCCACATTTCCTGCTACATTGTGGGGAAGGAGCACACATGGCTGTGGGTTGCTACAAGGGCAACCCTTCAAGGTGTTCCTCGCATCGGGAACTGCAGCATCTGAGTCTGTCAGAAGCTGGGTTGGATTGTTGCAGGATTGTGCCTGCCTTGGACTTAAAGGAAGGCAAGAACGGGGCCTAGGCTGCCGGAAGTCATATTCCAAAAAGGGCAAGGTGGTCCAAAGGGTCTAGGCATGTGGTGAGGGGATCAAAACGCCAATCTGGGGTCCAATGCAGTGAGCAGCCAGACCAGAGCAACTGTTGAACAGCCTCTTCCCTCATCATGCCAAGCTGCTTGGAGGCTGAGATGAAGCCAGAGAGGGTCTGAATGTCTATGATAACACTCCTAGCATCAGTGTGGTCTAGCAGGCCCAGGAGTTGGATAAACATATGGAGCAGAGGTCCATCAGTGGCTATTAGCCACAAAGTATAGATGGAACACTCTGTCTGGGGCAAGTGATGCTCTGTGTTCTTGGTTCTTGGGGGGGGAGCACAGTGGGAGGGCTTCTGGAGTTCAGGTCCCGCTGGTGGACCTCCTGATGGCACCTGGCTTTTGGCCACTGTATGACACTGTGTGGCATGGCTTCTCTTATGCTCAGGGCTGGCATCAGTATGCCCTGAGTTGGGGCCGCTGCCGGGGCCCAAGGTTTCTGCTGAGGCCCACTGCTCCCAGCACGACACTGCCCTCTCACTCACTGGCCCTCCACCTTCCCTGCTTCCTGCTGTAGGCACTGCCTGGTGCCCCTGGGGAAAGTGCTGAAGGCAGGGCAAGGACACACAAAGAGGTAAGAGGCATGCAGGTGGGAGGGAGAGAAGGAGGGCATGAGTGCCTGGTCGGAGGCAGAGAAGGGGCTGGTTGGTAGGGTTGCCAAGTCCATCTTCCACCCCCAGCGGGGGACTTTGGGGGCATTCCGGGTGGGGCATCCCCAACGTGATGACGTCACGTTGGGGATGTCTGCTGCCCCCCCCCGCCCGTGCACCGGATCTCCAGAAACTACAGTTCCCTGTAGTTAAAAGTAGCCAGCAGCCGGTGTTTCCCCTTTAAGAGCAGCTGTGTTTCCCTTTTAAGAGCAGCTGCGTTTCCCTTTTAAGAATGAAGCTGGCTTTTCCCTGCAAGCTTGCGGAGTTCGCGCTTGGGATGAAACATGGGTTGCACACACTTAAAGGTAGAGAGATGGGTGGCTGTGGGTGTTGGGGGTGGGGCTCCGGCGGCGGGTAGAACCCCCTCCCCCAAAAAAAATCGGGGGACCCATGGCAAACCGGGGGTTTTGGCAACCCTACTGGTTGGGAACTCTTTGCCCCCCCAAAATAAACCTGGAAACATTCCTACCGGGAATACATCTTTCTTTATCCTACTTCAGGTTCCTTTTTTAATGTTGCACCATTAGCACAAACACGTTCTAGAAGAGAGAAGAACAGCTGGTTTTATACTCCACCCTTCACCTGGAGTCTCAGAGCAGCTTGCAATCCCTTTCCCTTCCCCTCCCCATAAAAGACACCCTGTGAGGTAGGTGGGACTGAGAGAGCTCTGATAGAACTGCCCTTGAGAGAACAGCTCTGAAAGAACTTGTAACTGACCCAAGGTCACGCCAGCAACTGCATGTGGAGGAGTAGGGAGTCAAACCTGGTTCTCCCAGATTAGAGTCTGCACTCTTAACCACTACACCAAACTGGCTCTCTAGGCACGTCTCCACTGTTAACATGCAAAAACCACACTTATAGAAACAATGTTAGAACATCTGGCTAGAAGGAGAGCAGCAGCTTTCTGTGGCCCCACCTGCTGGCTCCAAAAAGAACTGAAGAGGTATCCTATGCAGAGATTTATTTTTTAAAAAAAAATCTGGATTCCTAGTTTACTATGGAGACCACGGTCCTGTTTTCCTCCAGAGATGAAAACTGAAATCAACACTCCAGCAGAAGCATCCTCTAGAGAACACTGTGTGTTTGTGTGTGTGTGTGTATTTGTGTGTGTATGTATATATATGTCTGAGCGGTGGCTCAGAGGCTAAGATGCTGAGCCGCAGACCAGAAGATCTGCAGTTCGGCCATTCGAGACCCTAGTGCTGCATGATGGAATGAGCTCCCGTCTCTGGCCCCAGCTCCTGCCAACCTAGCAGTTCAAAAGCAAGAAATTGCAAGTAGATAAATAGGTACAGCTTCGGTGGGAAGGTAACGGCATTCCATGTGCCTCGCCGTTTAGTCATGCTGACCACATGACCACAGAGAAGTCTTCGGACAGCACTGGCTTTTCGGCTTGGAACCAGAGATGAGCATCACACCCTAGAGTCAGATTCAACTAGCTTTCGAGCAAGGGAAGCCTTTACTTTACTGTGTTTGTGTGTGTGAGAGAGGGGGGGGGGGGAGAGAGAGAGAGAGACTGAACTGTTTGCTTTGTAACAAAGCCCACTTTGTAGTTCTGACCACCTAACCTATTCTGTCATAATAGTTTACAAAATTTCAGACATATACAACCATTAAAACTGGGAGAAAAGTTGCCCTTTCGCCTGTCCTTAACTGGTCTCCCCTAGAAATTGAACAAAGAAGTGATCCATGGCTTTATCAAAGGGTGTTCTCTAAGCGATTTTCAGTCATCTTCTATACATTTCCTCAGCTGGTTACAACTTTACCATACATAATGTGTCTGATTGTATGATCAATGCACCGCAATTGTTTAGGCTCTCTCTATTGTATAGTACTATTGACAAAATCGTTGCCGCTGCTGCTAGAAGCCAAACTTTGACTGCCTTGGCTTAGCTAATTTGTTCTGGGGATCTCTGCTTGAATTTTGGAGTGTTCCTTCACACTAAAGGCCTTTAAATGCACAACACCAATATGTGGTTCTCCCAGTGTTTTCTAAATTGGGCGGGCTGCCATTGACCACAGCAGTGAGGCTGGAGGTGAAAGCATTGAGCCCTCTACCTTTCTGTTGTTTCCCCCATTGTGATTCCTCCCCCAGAGGGTGGGAAGGTACCTCTATTTTTCCCTAATGGGCAACAAGCAACTTGTGAGGAGCAATATGGATCAGGCAAATAGCACAAGTGGAGAGTGTTGCGTGTGTCTAAAGTGCAGTCAAGTCCAGGGGTCATTTCGTAGAAAAAGAGGTACAGGAGCTCATTAGCATAACTCATTAGCATACCTTATGTGCATATGCCACACACACCCTGACATCACCGGAAGTGTGTCAGAAGCAAACACCCACCGCTCAGGCTCCACTGGACTGTTTTGGATTGCTAGCTATTGGGAGGGGGGAACGTGCAGATCTGTCCTCGCAGAGGAGGGAGAGCTCGTACCTGAATAAAAGTTGGTCTTAAAGGTGCCACTGGACTGTTTTGGACTGGGGGAAGCTCTGCAACTTACCTGGCTGCTTCTTGCTCTGACTGAGGGCTGCTGGGAGCAGGGGGTGGGGCTTGTTGCATGTGCCCGCCCCCTGGGCTCTTTACTGTCGGAGCTCCGCTCCTGTGGGCTCCTGCAGGAAATGACCCCTGGTCAAGTCACAGACAACCGATGATGACCTCTCATGGGGTTTTCAAGGCAAGAGACATTGAGAGGTGGTTTGCCATGACCCACCTCTGCAGAGCAACCCCAGACTTCCTTGGTTGTCTCCCATCCAAGTACTTACTAGGGCCAGCTCTGCTTAGCTTCTAAGTTCTATATGTACATTAAATGTTTATAAAGATGATACAAAATTACAAATAGATCTCCTTTTGTTCCAGATGGACATTTAATGTTCATATAGCATATTGTTGAAATTACAAACCTTGTTTGCACGCATTGCAGTTTCTATCATTATTGGAATTGCTACACTAACTGCAATCCCCTATCTTTTTTGCGTAGCTTCTAAATTCTGACAAGATCAGGCTAAGAAGAAGAGATTGGATTTATACCCCACCCTTCACTACCCAAGGGAGTCTCAGAGTGCCTTACAATCCCTTTCAGTTCCCCTCCCCAGAAAAGCTGCCCTGTGAGGTAGATGGGTCTGAGAGAGCTCTCTCAAGAACTGCCCTTGAGAGAACAACTCTGACCCAAGGACACACCAGCAGCTGCATGTGGATGAGTGGGGACTCAAACCCGGTTCTCCCAGATTAGAGTCCGCGCTCCTAACCACTAGACCAAACTGGCTCTAGCCTGGGCCATTCAGGTCAGAGGGGAAAAGGTTAACATTTCCATCCCAGCACTGCTGTGTCACTTCAGTCAGCACACCCTGCAGCTGAATTTCATTGGAAAGAAAATGCTAGAAGATTGGACGGTGGGTCGGTTGTAGAGTGTGCGATTTTGTTTTGATTTTCTTGGATCCACATAACCTGTCACCTGTCCATGCAATGCTGTGGTGATTTTGCTTTTAAGGCTCATAAATGGCATCCTACATTTTGTCTTGTCTTCTTTGCAGTGCCTCCAGATGATCCAGTAATTATCGGGGGGCCCATCATTAGCCTAAGAGCTGGAGATCCCCTGAATCTAACCTGCCATGCTGATAACGCCAAACCAGCGGCGTCCATCATTTGGATGCGGAGAGGAGAAGTAATCAATGGAGCAACCTACTCAAAGGTAAGAACACCTGAGACTGCGAAGGAAGAGAAATCGGGCCCAGTTCACCTGGAGAATGATGACCACTCCACTATGCATAAGGTGGAAATCAGTAGTGCTCCGAGAACGTAGAGTTCTCCTCCAAGGATATTAAAACTCCAGGTCATGCAAAGAAAATGATTGGCAGTAGGTTCAGTACAGACAAAACTCCTTTGCTGCACAGCCTATATTTAACTTAGGAGGTTCACTTCCGCAAGAAGTTGTGATTGCCATGGGCTGAGGCGATTTTTGTCAAAGGTCAGACAAAACCAGGAGGCGTAGGCCCATCCATCACTGTAGCAAAACAGAATAAGGAAGTTCCTGGGTAGTACCTCTGAATACAAAATGCTGGCGTCTCACAACAGAAGAAGGATCTTGCCTCCGGGCTTTGCTTTCGGGATTGCTGGAGGCAGCTGCCTTGCCGGGGATGTTGGACCAGGTGGATTTTTTTTTGTTTCAGTGAACCAAGATCTGAAGTTCACTACTGTTTCTGCCTTGAACAATATAAAGAAGATGGTTCAGGTTTGAGCCTAACCTATCAATGGGGTTGTTGGGAGGATAAAATGGAGAATGGAGAATTGTGTCTATGACTCTGAGTTCCTTGGAGGAAGGGTGTTGGGTATTTGCATGTTGAAAACACTCAATGTGTGTGTATAGGGTTAAATGTCTGTTCTGTTGTTACAGGAAATCACCTGTCTTTGTGTTAGCCAATGTTAGCTCAAGTCTGTTAGCCCGCGAAAAGCATCCCTGTTCAGAGAGTTTGATTGGGAGCAAGGTATTAGTAACTTTGCATTTTATGGCCCCTCTTCCCCTCTTTGTTCGTCTTGGAGAAGAAGCATGTGAGAGGGTCCATCTTCCAGTTCTTCTAGTCTAGAGAGGATGTAGCTGATTTAGCTCTCTGTTATTTTCTCCCAAGTTTACCCTTCCCTATGGTAGAATTGTAGTAAACTTTTATATTTTAAACACACATGGACTCTGGATCTGATTATTGAACTCTGGCATTGCTAAACTGATTTTTAACTCTGCTGAATTTCTTAAAAACTCCAACAAAGGGAAGATACAAATGAGACAGACAGACAGACAAGTAGGTAGATGAGAGAGAGGGAGAAGGAGAGGGGGAGAGAGACAGACAGACAGTTTCAGAGGGTACCTGTGTTGGTCTGCAACAGAACAGCTAGGTTCAAGTCCAGTAGGTCCTTAGAGACCAACAAGGTTTTCAGGGCTTTTTTTTGTGTGTATATTTTTTACACCAGTTTAGTGTAGTTTGGCGGACTCTAATCTGGAGAAATGGGTTTAATTTCCCTACTCCTCCTGCACTAGGGCTGCCAAGTGGGGGTGGGTGGCAGGTAAACCCCCACTTCGGAGACCCAATTTCCACCACTGGGGAATCGGGCCCGGGGGGGGGACTCCGCCCCAGCGTGCGTGTCACCTGGAAGTGACACAGGCACACTGGGGGCGGGGCCACGACCATGCAAGGGGAAACCCTATGGTTTTCCCTTGTATGGCGTGGCCCCGCCCCCAGCGTGCCCAGTGTGCCTGCGTCACTTCCGGGTGACGCGCACGCGCGCACACACCCGATGCCAGCCGGGAGCCCCTCGCTCCCGGCGAAGAATCACTTGACAACCCTATCCTGCACATGCACCCAGCTGTGTGACCTTGGGTCAGTCACAGTCCTCTCAGAGCTCTCTCAGGCCCACCTACCTTACTAGGTGCCTGCTGTGGGGGGAGGAAGGGAAGGCAATTATAAGCCGCTCTGAGACTCCTTCAGGTAGTGGAAAGCGGGGTATAAAAACCAACTCTTCTTCTTCCCCTTCTTCGTGTGTGTGTGTGTGTGTGTGCGCCTGGCAGTCATGGTTGACTTCTGGCAACCCCTAGTGGGGCCTAGATGTTTCAGAGAGGCGGCTGACTATTGCCTTCCTCTGCATCCCAGTCCTGGTATTCCTTGGAGGTCTCCCATCCAAGTCCTTGTCAGGGTCGGCCCTGCTTAGCTTCCGAGATCTGACGAGATCAGGCTAGCCTGGGCTATCCAGGTCAGGGTGGTTTTCAGGGCTTTCAAGAGTCAAAGCTTCCTTCGTAAGCTATCAGACAAAGGGAGCTTTGATTCTTGAATGCTTGTACCCGGGAAATCCCGTCGGTCTCTATGGTGCTACCAGACTCAAATGTAGACAGACAAGAGACACTCCAAATAGCGAGGCATGTTTCTCTTGTATTCTAATTGTGAGAATCATATTGCCCCTTTGTTTGGCTGCCACGGAATTGCCTCCAGGTTGATGCAGACAGTCAGGCGGTGAAGAGGTGAAGGCAGGAAGCTTGGCAAAGTGGAAAGAGACAAACATCATCGAGGAAGCAGGAGCAGAATTTTAAGAGCCAGCACTTGGCGGAAATAAGCATTATTCAGGACAAATGGTCCCTGCGCCGGTGTGGCGGCCTCAGCCTGGCGGCGTGGCCTCGTCCTTCCCTGCAGCTGTCACCGTGTCGTGAGTGTGACGGGAGGCTCTAACTTCTCAAGGAGCATTTGAAACCCTCATGCAGCATACATGTGAGTTTTTTGAGGGTTTATTGCCACTGAAAAGGGAGGACGAATGTTCCGCAGAAAAGGCCACCAGGGCACTTCTCAGGCAGGCGAGAAGCCGAGGGTGTTTGGGGATCAAAGGCGGTGCAAAGAAATAATTTTAAACTCTTTGTATGAGAAACAGCCATCAGCGAGATGTCGGCAGCCCCTTCATGCCTTTCAGCATGACTTTGTATTTGACCCTGGTGGAGCATGCATTATTCCGGGGGCTTGGGTTGGGTTTTGTGTCCCTTTGCGATGCAGTCATGTTTTGACCATAAGCACATGATTTGACCACTGTTATTAAGTTAAAAAGAAAAGGAAGCAGGGGAAGAAAAATCACCAGGCCCAGATGGCATACATCCGAGAGTTCTGAAAGAACTCAAATGTGAACTTGTAGATCTCCTGACAAAGATATGTAATCTTTCCTTAAAATCTGCCTCCATTCCTGAGGATTGGAAGGTAGCTAATGTCACTCCCATCTTTAAAAAGGGTTCCAGAGGAGATCCGGGAAATTACAGGCCAGTCAGTCTGACGTCGATACCGGGTAAATTGGTGGAAACCATTATTAAGGAAAGAATTAGTAGGCACATAGATGAACAAAACCTATTGAGGCAGACTCAGCACGGTTTCTGTAAGGGAAGATCTTGTCTCACTAACCTGTTAGTGTTCTTTGAGGGGGTGAACAAACATGTGGACAAGGGGGATCCAATAGATATTATTTACCTTGACTTCCAGAAAGCTTTTGATAAAGTTCCTCATCAAAGGCTCCTAAGTAAGCTCAAAAATCATGGGATAGAAGGACAAGTCCTTTTATGGATCAAAAACTGGCTAGTTCATAGAAAACAGAGAGTGAGTGTAGGTGGGCAATTTTCTCAGTGGAGGGTGGTAAGCAGTGGGGTACCGCAGGGATCAGTACTTGGTCCACTGCTTTTTAACTTGTTCATTAATGATTTGGAGATGGGAGTAAGCAGTGAAGTGGCTAAATTTGCGGATGATACAAAGTTGTTCAGGGTGGTGAAAACCAGTGAGGATTGTGAGGCACTCCAAGGGGATCTGTCAAGGATGGGCGAGTGGGCGTCAACATGGCAAATGGGGTTCAATGTGGCCAAGTGCAAGGTGATGCACATTGGAGCCAAAAATCCTAAATATAAATACACATTGATGGGGTCTGAACTGGCAGAGACTGAGCAAGAGAGAGATCTTGGAGTTGTAGTGGATAACTCACTGAAAATGTCGAGACAGTGTGTGACTGCAATAAAGAAGGCCAATGCTATGCTGGGGATTATTAGGAAGGGTATTGAAAACAGATCAGCCAATATAATAATGCCCCTATATAAATCAATGGTGAGACCTCATTTGGAATACTGTGTGCAGTTCTGGGCACCACACCTTAAAAAGGATATTATAGCTTTGGAAAAAGTGCAGAAAAGGGCAACTCGAATGATAAAAGGGTTGGAACACTTTCCCTATGAGGAAAGGTTAAAGCGCTTAGGGCTCTTTAGCTTGGAGAAAAGACGACTGAGGGGTGACATGATCGAGGTTTATAAGATTATGCATGGGAAAGAGCAGGTAAAGAAAGAGGTACTTTTCTCCCTTTCTCACAATACAAGAACTCGTGGGCACTCCATGAAACTGCAGAGCGGTCGGGTTAGAACGGATAAAAGGAAGTACTTCTTCACCCAAAGAGTGATTAACACATGGAATTCACTGCCACAGGAAGTGGTGGGTGCTACAAGCATGGACGGCTTCAAAAGGGAATTAGATAAGCATATGGAGCAGAGGTCCATCAGTGGCTATTAGCCACAAGGTATAGCTAGGGGCTCTGGGGCAAGTGATGCTCTGTCTTCTTGGTGCTTGGGGGGGGGGTCAACAGTGGGAGGGCTTCTAATGTCCTGGCCCCACTGCTGGACCTCCTGATGGCACTGGTATTTCTGGCCACTGTGTGACACAGAGTGTTGGACTGGATGGGCCTTTGGCCTGATCCAACATTGGCGTCTCTTATGTTCTTATGTTCTTATGAAGAAGAAGAAGATTGGATTTATACCCTGCCCTTCACTACTCAAAGGAGTCTCGGAGCGGCTTACACACTCCTTTCCCTTCCCCTCCCCACAACAGACACCCTGTGAGGTGGGTGGGGCTGAGAGAGCTCTGGCAGAAACTGCTCTTTTTCAAGGACAGCTCTTATCAGAACTATGGCTTGCCCAAGGTCATCCAGCAGGTGCAAGTGGAGGAGTGGGGAAGCAAACCCGGTTCTCCCAGATTAGAGTCCGTGCACTTAACCACTACACCAAACTGGCTTAGATACATGCAATCAAACATGCTGGTAATGCAAGGAATGCATTTTCTTGAAAATGTTGCTTTTATACAAGTTGGTGCAATTCCTCTCCTGGGGGTTCCATCCTCCTTCCCACACACTTTGAGGGTTGCC